GCTTTGATACGGAAACGCGTAGCGGTAACCATGTGAACAAGAACGCAACACATACCAAACAAAACAACACAAGTTAAGCCTCTCATTCCCCAGTACTCTTTTTCAATTTTTTTCCCGTCCTCAACTCTCACCTTGACAATCGACCCTCACAGAGGAATCCCCCTTATCACATCACAGAAAAGAATCAACCACACAACACAAAATCACCAAAACACAAACCAACAGCAACAAACAACATCCAAAAAAAAACGAAAACATTTGCCCATTGTGCAGTACCTAATGAACCCCCCTTTTTACCTTTCCCTTTCCATCCTCTTACCTTGATCCCCCCACCAACCCACACCCAACAATCCCATCCATCATCCATCTCTTCATAGGGCATCCCCCCCAAATCATCAATTGTTCACATCAAGAAAAAGAACAAACTTGTACTCTTGCAAAAAGTAATCAACAGGAAGAAGTAAGAAAAAAAAAAGAATCAGGAAGAAAAACCAACAGCCTGTGATACAGAACTGTTGATTCACCCCCCCCAAATCCAACCCGCAAACAGAACCCCCACCTAGATATCAGTCGACCAGAAGAAACAAAAGTGGTCGACGAATCAAGGCCCCTCTCAAAAAAAGAAAAAACGCCCGGCACATGCCCGCTGTGCTGTGCCCAATGCTTTATCTATTCCGTACAGTAATTTGAATTCATCCCAACGCTCGGCATGATGATCATTATTTAGCGTTCCGTTCCGTAATCGTCGAAAAAAAATCTTCATCTCTGTTACAGTGTCAGATGTGAGTAACATGTTCCCAGTTCACTGACGGCGTCTGTCAGGTTGTGGGCTGCGACCTACACGTCCACGTCGGCTGTTGTTGCCTTGCTCCTGCTGCGGCATGTATCCCATGTTGGGTGGCATCTGTCCCTGGCCACCATAGCCATAACTCATGTTCATGCCGAATCCGGGGGCCGGAGGGAATGGCGCCTGTCCGGGGACGTTCGACAGCTGAGCGCTCGGGGGCTGGATCGGGCTACCGATGTTACGGTACTGGTCCGGATACCCGTTGAAGCCAGCAGGGACTGCGGCAGAGTAGTAGTTGCTCATGGGCGGCCCTCCCCGCATCATGGCCTGCTGGTACTGCATCTGCTGGATGGAGGCGGGTGCCATGGGCGTGTTTGGTGCATTGTACATGGCTCCCTGCTGGAAGGTTGGGAACTGCTGGGTCAAGCCGGCATCAACCCCCTCGCCACGGGGAACTCCATATGCCATGTCGTAACCAGGAACGCCAGCAGGGGCATTGAGATGGTTGTAGTACTGAGGAGCGGCATTGCCGTTGTACTGTCCACCTTGCTGCTGCTGCTGCTGAGCTTGTTGAGCCTGCTGCGGTTGCTGGTGGTGCTGAGCGTTGCCGGGGGTCTGTCTCGAGCCTGGTCGTTGCCTGTTGTCATTGCTGTGATCGCGAGAGGCGCTGTTTCCACCGCCTCCACCGCTGCGGGTGGACAGTCCAACTTCATCCATCAGCCGCTTGTAACCCTGTCCCGGCTGGGCCTTGATGCGAATCAACACATTCTTGACCGTCTCGACTACCTGGCTGCGGATTGTCTCGTCAAAGAAGGGCGTGGTGAGCACCTTGAAAATCAAGGTGGCTCCGCAGGCGTGGTCGCTCAGGATCGCCTCCAAAACCTGATCATTGGGGGTGAAGAAGAGCGCCTTGAGAACGGTGTCTCTGGCGTCTCCCTCGGCCTTCTGGTTGATAACCTTGAGGACCGTCAGGTAAGCAACCTTGTGGGTGCACAGATTGACCAAGTAGGGCACAAGCTGGGGCGAGAGAACTGTGCGTCTCTGTGGGAAGGTGCAGGTGTCCAGGAACCAGGTCAAGAGCAGCGCACCGTTGGCATTGGTCGCAAGCTTGACACTGTGGAGAGCAATGGCGGCAGCAAGCAGCCTCTGCTGGTCCTTGGTGGCATGGTGGCTCTCTAGACAAGCCCGCATGGCGCGAGCTCCATATCGTCCCTGCGCCGCCTCCCACATTCTGCTCAGCATGGTCTCAAAGATGAAGTCGTTGTGGGGACTTCCAAACTTCAGGCAGCCCTGGAGAACGTAGTTGCCGTACTGATCCAAGAACAGAGGGATCGTGTAAGGGCGCAAGTGCTGCACAATGAGGTTCATCTGGTGCGGTGTCTTACACACTTCGATAATCTTCTGCGCAGCCCAGGTTCCGTTCTTGTGGACGCCAATCTCGGCCATGTGCGGCGCGATCTCGGCCAGCATCTGATCGCGAACATCATCAGAGCAGTGCTCAAAGAGCTTCTGGACGACCGTGTTGCCAAGGTAATCCGAAGAAAGCTCGGCAATCTCGGGAAGCATGTCAACGGCAATGCTCTCGATCTCGGCCTGGGACAAGGCCTGGTTGTCAATCCTTTTGCGGATATCCCGGAGCTTGGGCGCATCGTGGATTCTGGTGTGCGCAGGTTCCTTGATGGGAGGGATTTCGTCAACGAACTCGCCGTACTGGATCGCCCGCTGGAGGCTAGCCGAGATGTTGTACTTGTCTTCCTCAGTCGCCCCAAACTGGACAACAATACTGAGAATATCACCGGTCATCTCAGCAAGAGGGGGCACGGTCGGCGTCGCAGTGCCCACAAGCGCAGCGGGAGAAGAGTCGCCGGGAGCACCGGTGCCCATACCCTGAGAGTTGTCCTGGCCCTTGGAAAACGGATCAGGGCTGGGCGAGGGCATGGCTCCGTCATGTCCTGGCGTGTTGGAAGCGGAGGGGGGCTTCGCAAAGTTGATGCGAATGGGCCCGGCACCAGGGAAGATCTCCTTTCCATTCATTGTGTTCTTGGCGGAGATGGCACTGTCGACCCGTTCAAAGTTCACAAAGCCGCAGTTCTTGTGAGTCAAGACCCTAGCTGACAAGATAGGTCCGTACGACTTGAACATCTCCGTCAGGGTCGATGTGGTGGTGGATGTGCGGGATGCTGCCGAGCCACAAAGCACTAGTTGGACCTTCCAGCCCCTGTTCTTCGGCGCTCAAGAGGCCATTGTTGCGACTGTTGGACCTACCAAGCGACAACCCAGCAACGGCTTGCGGAAGATCATCGTATTCCTTGTCACCAGAAACACGGATGTCAGAGGCCGTGATGGAGTTCATCAAGCCTGGAGGGAGTGGGGTAGTAGTTGCGAAGAACGCGGGATGCCGGAGTATCCAGCACTACCAGCGGTCCTGGCACGAGGACGGGCGGCCTGGTTCGCAAAGGCCTGGACGGCCAGGTTGTGCTGCTGGATGGCAGCATTGGTGGCAGCGAGCTGATCCTGAATCTGCAAATACTGGTTCTCCATCATCATGACCGGGTCGTCATAATCATCCTCATCTTCGTCCGCATACCTGTCCTTGTTGTTCACCGAGTAAGACCGGAAACGGTTGGCGGCCTTGGAGAAATCGGCATAGTTGGGGACATATGTCGGAGTAGCAATCTGAGCTCGTGCGGGCTGAGGTGTTTCCGCAAGACCAAGGTAGTCCAGCGTTCTCATATGAACATCACTCTCAGCATTGCCCTCTCGGGAAAAGTGAGACTGCGCGGGAGAACTAGGCCCGTTGGAAGGAACACTGGCAATGCTGGCCAGTGTGTTGCCTCTGTCGCGCCCTGTCCCGGTGGGGTTCCAGCTGCTGAAGATAGAAGGACCAAACGGAGAGCTGGTGCCAGGCACGTGGGCGAACGGGCTTCTTTGTGGCATGGAGCCAGCCCTCAGCCTCGAGAGAAGTGCTGAAGCATTGGAAATATCGTTGCCGGATGACTCGATGCCCGGTGATGGAGACTTGAACGGCGTCTGAGAGGGGCTTGGACGAGACGTCTTGGAAGCCAGAGACGGGATGGCAAGCAATCCATTGCCGGCCCCACCCGGGGAGAAGCGAGACGGAACGGTGCCGGCACGAGCACGGCGTGTTGAGGGAAGCTCCTGTGGTGTGGGTAGCTGTGCGAAGTCGGGGAAGCCATCGGTCGGCGACTCGGGGATGTTTTCACGAAGAGGAGTCGAGTTGCCGCTAGTCGGAGGTCCGCCCCAGGGATTCACCGGGATTCCCGGGATGCCTTCTTGAGCTTGGATTTCTCGGGCCCTGGAGTTTGAAAAATCAGCACATGTGTTCACCCGGAGGTGGATGGGAGTGGAGTGGCTGGGAGCTTACCGCTTGGAGAACAAACGGCCAGACGCCGCCATCTCGTGATTCGGAGAACCGGCACCAGAGCGCGAAGCACCCGGCATCTTGGAGGTGGGCGTCAGACCTGGAGAAAGACCATATGGAGACCTCAGGGTGCTGCCGGCGGACTGGGGGTCGTTGGGGGAGGTGCTTGTTGGGGAGTTGGAGCGGTTCTGAGCGGACACGGTCTGTGGCGGGTAGCCAATGGTCAGATGCTCGGCTGGTCTTGAAGTCGACATTATCGATTATCGTTTATTCCGACCCTCGTCAGATACTTGTATGTATTTAGTTTTTTTTCCCTTTTTTCCGGCCTGGGGGCAATGGCGTCACAACGTCGGGCCCGAAACTGCCAGAGCGGTGCGACGACGTGAAGAGCGCGGTCGGTTGTGGAGAGGGTGATCTCTGGGGGGGAAAAAATAATGCACGGCGGAAGACCGCACTGCGAGGATCCAATTAAGCGAGGATTGAGAACTAACGGCAAAGGCCGGGCCGAAGGAGCGTCGCTGAAGGGTAGCAAAGTCGAGTCAAATACGAAGTCGCAAGCTGGCAGCTGCAACTCAATTACAAGGTCGATGTGACGAAGAGGAGTGCCGTCGTTGGTGTGGCCGGGGCCTTTTTGTCTATGAGAGGAGAGAAAAGAGAAGAGGGTCGAGAGGTGGTTCAGGTCGAGGTTGAGGTCGAGTCGAGGGGAGGAGGGGAGAGGTGAGTGGTTCAAGAAACTCGATTGACCTCTTTTTGGATGGAAATGCAGAAATGCAGAAATGCAGAAATGCAGAAATGCTGCTGCTGCTGAGGGTTGCTCCCGTTCGCGCGTTTCGGCTTGGCTTTCCTGGGGATAGGGCGGGACGGCTCTCCTTTGTGGTCCGACTACCCCTTTGCTAGGTGCTCCCGCTCTTTTTCGCAGGCGGACTACAGAGTATGCAAGTAAATGTTAAGAAAGACCTAATAACAATATACAGGCATCATTAGGTGGCAGTCTGGGGGATGAGAGAGAGAGAGAGAGAGGAGGACGTTGACGTCGTCGTCGTCGTCCAAGAGAAGCCGACGTTGTAGTCGTGTGGAGGAGGGAGGAGGTGAGGTGAGGTTGAGAGAGAGTAGTAGCGAGTGGTAGTGGTGTTCGTGGTTGTAGTAGTGATTGAGTGCCGGTGGGGGGGTGGCAGCCCAGAAAAAAAGCGATGTTCGGGGGGTTGAGATGACAAGGCGGGAGTGAAAGAGGAAAGATGAAACACTAGGGGTTAGCTGCAAAAGCTGGTGCTTTCGACCACTGGGCGGACGTCAGGTTTTTTGTGCAGGCCCACACCGTGTCCACTTTGTTACCGCTGTGAGCCCTGTGAGCCCCCCGGAGCCGGCTTCGAACTTGTTGGAAGGGCACTGACAACTGACAAAGGCTTGCGCACTTTGAACCTTGGAAGTTGTCACGCTGTCACAAGGCTGTCATTTACAGTATCCTAATTAGTGAGGGTGACTCTCGGCTCCTCCTTCCATTTCTCCTGTCACTTTCTCTCAGAATAATCACAGCGGGGAGCAAGAGCCTGCTGCGGGGATGCAGTCTGTGCCACCAAACATCACCCCTGAATCCGACATGGACGGTGACCTAAGTAAATGCCCATCACTCGCCTTGTATGGACTGGCACTTGCGGCCGTCTATCCGCCCTC